AAGGGGGGAAGTAGAGCAGGGGAGAAACCAGAAGATTTAACTGGGGAGAGCAGGGAGCTTGGAGAGAGTGTTGAGGAGACACTCAGCGCTTCTGAGGCTGCAGGTACAGTAACTGTTTCCAGCCCAACATGTGAAAATTCAAAACAAATTTGGCTGGGATAGCAGGTGTGCAGACACAACCACTGAGCTACAGATTTGCCTATCCTTCATTACCTTTAATTGCCAGTAGAGCAAAGACTTATAGCAGCTTTCACTCCTCAACTCCTCAGCTGCTGAGGAGGGATGGTAGGAAGGGTGAGCAATATACTGAAACTGTGTTGTGGCCAAATGAGCAGTGAAATAACTGGAGGAGAAAATGATGAGAGATCAGAAAAGACGACACATGAAATGCATTTCACGGGGCCCGGCTTACCAACAGAACCAGACGATGGTTACTGTCGGGAAGAAGGAAAAGGAGCTGACACCATTGCTACAAAAATCAGCAAGTGGGGAAGCCTGATTCAATAGCCCCATGCAGGCAAACCTGCCAGTGGCTCAGGGAGCTGCTGAAGGATCAAGGGTGTATGCCTGCCTAGACAAGGCTGTACTTGAAGTCTCCTGTCCGTGCCATGTGCTTCAGCCTGAAGAAATGTCTCTTCAGGGTGAAGACGTGTGCCTGCCCCTCTAGCTAAGCAGAAGGCCATACGCTACCAGGATGTGATTAAATAGCAGAACCTGGCTCCTCATTTTTTTCCTCTCTGCTATTCACTTTCTGTCATCATCTTTCCTGCATTTCCTCCCCTCTCCCTCTGGAGTACACCCAGTGTGTGTTCCTGGCTTGTTTTCTTCGCAGCCTACCTCTGAGGTTTTGGGTCAACATCCTGAAGAACCCGCAGTTCGTCTTCGACATTGACAAGACAGACCACATTGACGCCTGTCTCTCTGTGATAGCCCAGGCCTTCATTGACGCCTGCTCCCTGTCTGACCTGCAGCTGGGCAAGGTACTGTCCAGAGGCGACATCTCACTCCTGCTGGGGCAGTCATAGACACAGACCAGTGCGGGTGGGAAGGGGCTGTCAGAGGTCACCCAGTCCGACCTCCCCCAGAAGCAGGGCTGGCTGGGAGCCACTTGCTCAGGTTCACGCAGTTGAGTTTTGGCTGTCTCCGAGGATGAGTTTTCCACCTCCCTTCCCCACCACTTTGTTCAGGCTTGAGCGTGAAATTTGCACCCCCTCTGTCACAAACAGTGGTCAGGGAGTGGGAACACATGGTCACAGGCAGGATGGACAAAGGGCAAGGCCCCAGCCCGGAAGGCTCAGGGGTTGGAGGGAGACCCCTTTGCTGGCTTATGTGTTCGGTGCTACCCAGTGGCTGTATGAGTTGTCCTGCAGTCCCAGGAGAGCACCCAGCTTAGCGCAACGTCTGTAACGCTTCCTGACGGGGTTGAGCTGGTGCATGAGCAGACGAATATTCTCTGTTGTTCGCTCGGGCAGGGGTGTAACGTACCAAGGCGAGCACGGGTGGGTGTCAGCTCTGCTCTGGGCACAGGCAGACTCAGCACGGGAGCCCAGCTCCCTCAGTCAGGGTTGGTTTAGGGGACAGCATTAGTCTCACAATCCCGTAACGGCAGCTGAGGGACGATGTAAACTCCCAGTGGCAGGATGGAAAATGACGTAGCTTCAGGTGAAGCTTTAATCATTGCTGTCAGTGGTTTCTGCACAGCCTCTCACCTAGGAGAGCTGTGAGAAGCTCAGGAGGCGAGCCGAGCCTTCGTGAACGTGGGCTGCGCCTGCCCAGGCAGCACAGACCCAGCCTGGCTCACGTGGAGGTGCGGGGACTGTCTGGGGCCATCCCGTTGACGCCATCCATCAGCACGTGGGAAGCACTTGGCAGGCGCTTGTGGAGCACTTGGTGCTCCCCTCCGGTGGGTGCTCCCCTCCGGTGGTAGTGTCTCCATCACATGCTGGCCACCGCCGGCATGTGGTCAGAGCCCAGCGGACTCGGCACGCCTGCCTAGGAAGCTACGCCTGCTCCGAGCAAATGCGAGCCTGCGCGGGCCAGGTCTCCTCTTCTGCCATCGGGCTCCCACGCACCATCCTGCGGGGCTGGCAGGCAGCAAGACGTCCAGCGCGCATGTTTTCTGTTCTCCCACTTGCTTGGCTGAGTGCAGCGTTGACATTTGAAACTTCCCGACATAAGTTTTATTAAGAAATGCTGTAAATCGTCCCCCGCCACCCCCCCCGCCCCAGGGGCTGGCAGCAGCACAGTGTGTGATGTAGAGGGGACCCTACAGAGAGAGGGGCGGGAGGCAGGCGCTGCTCAGTGCATCCCCCGGACTGAGAGCAACAGGAAGCCTTCACTGGGAGAGGTTAATACTGGAGGAAGATCTAATGAGCACTTGATTTTTTGTTTGTTTGGGTTTTGGACTTTTTTTTGCATGTCTTACGAAACACCTACAATTTGTCCTTGTCAAGCTGTGGATGAGGGGAAGAGGGGTCAGCTGGAGTCAGACAGCAGATGGAAACATTTTTCAGGAATACAATAGCATAAGTGAAGGAATTGTTGAGTAATGTGGGAAGAATAAATCCTCAGCATAAAAATCAGCTTGCATATACACCCAGTATATCACTGAATGTTTTCCAGGCTGGATTCTTCCCCTGGTTTCAGCATTTTGCCCTTGATATTGCAAATGTGAGAGCAGACTCAGACTCCATACATCTACAGTGCGCAAGCAGTTAATAAACCAGTACCCATCTCTTCATAATACAGACAAATCAGACACGAATTAAAAAATAACTTAAAAAAGAGGCAGCATGGGTTTCTTTTGTGTTTCCAAGGGGAAAAAAAAAATGTTGTGAGCAGGCTCTGTAACTTGGCTATATTCCTGTAATGCCTTGTCATTGGGTTTGAAAATAAACTGCTGTGGGATCTGGTGCCACAGCCTGGTGCCCATTTCCCATTTCCCCTGCAGCATTAGCCACGCTACATATTGCAGCAGCAGATTGCAGTTACCCTGGGCTTCCTTATTTACTGCCCGATACAGCTGAAGATGCTGCCTCCACGGCTAGAGCCCTGCCACGCTTGTCTCTTCTGAAGATCCTCCCTCCCCTCTCCACCTGTCAGAGCATCAGGGAGCAGTCCCGCACGCCAGTGTCGGGGCAGCAGGACACGTTGATCTTACTCCCCTCTGTGTCCCCGAGCCTGGGGCTGTTTCCCTTCGGGATGCAGCGCTAGGCCACTCAGCCAGGTTCATTCCCGGGGTAATGATATCAGCGGGGCAGGATTGCCTTGAGGTTAAAATCATTCATGCTTGTGTTTGCAAGGAGTGCAGGCGGGGTTACGCCTTCACTGGTACAACCCGATCGTGTGGCTGGGAGGTTAAGACTGCTTTGTCCAAGCTGACATTAATCAAGAGAACTCAGTATTTTCTGTTAATTACTTTACATGCACTCAATATAGGCCAGGCAGGCTGGGTTAGCCAATGCAAAATAAATCAAAGCTACATGAAAAATCCAAGAGCAACATTTCAACTGACAAAGTTCAGCTTGTAAGAGAGCTTTGTTCTTCAGTTTAAATCAAGCTGGCTGCTCGAGAGACCCGAGTAAAGGCATGCAGAAGCCCTTCCCTTGTTACCAATTTCCACACGCAGAGCCATGGAGCACAAGTGTTTTATCTAACACGGTTGTGCTACACTCATCTGCAGAGCATCACCTGGCAGCAAGCCACCTCACCTGAGCCTGTGCATGCTTTTTAGCCTGCCCTTGCTGCACATCAAAACACATTCACATAGACCACCTTCGCTGGCATTGTAGCTAACAAATGTTTAGCTCATGCTAGGAAGAAGGGCAGAGGGACGGTGCTGTGGCTCCGCAGGCGGGTGGTACCTGTCCGCAGCACCTTGATGTGTTTGAGCAAGCACCTCTGTCGTTAGCTGTTTCGTGCCTCAGTGCCGTCCCGTCACACTCCTGTCTGTGTAAAGCCGGGACCAAAGACGTAGCTGTTTCCTGAACCCAGCTGTAGCTGCAGTCAGTGTCTGATGGTTAGCACTTTGGTCAGACAAACAGGATAAAAAGTGTTCAGCCAGGAACAATATGGTGTCTGATTTTGGTATCTCACCCTCGCTCTAGGACTCCCCGACCAATAAACTGCTGTACGCCAAGGAGATCCCCGAGTATAGGAAGATAGTGCAGCGATACTACAAGCAAATCCACGACATGCCCCCGCTCAGCGAGCAGGAAATGAACGCCCACCTCGCGGAGGAGTCGCGGGTAAGGCGCGCTGGGCTGCAGCGGGTGGAGGGGGGGCTCAGCCGGTGCGCGCCCCCGTGCCGGGGATGGGGTCGGGTCTGCAGTCTCAGTGCCCTGCCAGAGCGAGGAGCACCAAGCCTGCTCTGCTCTGGCTGACAGCAGGAGTCTGGGAGTGGCAGGGAACGCAGATAGGCTGCAATCAGCTACTGATTAGACGCTGGAAGGAGCAAACGAAAGGATATTTTGCCTCAAACTTCCACGCACAAACTTCATCTGACCTAATTCCAAGCATCTTCAATTACTGCCAGAGCTGCAGTAAACACCCACGAGTTAGCTTGAACCTAACTAGCTTTGGCACCACTGGGAGTTGAAAGCAAAATTCATTGCCAAAGAGCCGGGAAGTTTAGAAAAGGATCTGCGCAGCCCCGCAGCCCCCTGGCCAGCTGGCCCCCGGGCGCCAACTGCCAGGGCCGGCCCCAAGTCCCAGGCAGCCCGCTGGCAGTCAGCCCTGGCAGCGGGCCCGGGTGCGGGATGCCGGCCCTGGTATCAGCTACGGGAGCTGGCAGCCACGCTCCGGATCCGAGTCCTGCCAGTGATACGCCACAGCTTCCTCAAAATCAAACCATCTCCCCGCGGCATTTTAGCTTCAGCCACCGAGCAGATTTTTTTCCGCTGGCATTCCTCTGCCCAGCTCTCACGCTGCCCCATCCTTTGAAATGGCTTTGAGCGTGGAGGGGTAAACAGTGTTATCAAGTGTGGGCATTTAAGGCTGGCTTTAAAAAGACTAAGACCGTTTCTGATGCAAGCAAATGCACCTTCCTTAAAGGAGTAAGTCAAAAGTCCGGCTGCATCAATGCAACAGTAACAAAAATACCCAGGCAAAACCTTCTTCTAATCTAGTTAATGCCTGCTGATTGGGCTTGAACTCACTTGCTGCATCACATTAATATTCCTCGCCTCTTTGTTCTGTCTTTATAAAGAAATACCGGAACGAATTCAACACCAACGTCGCCATGGCTGAGATATACAAATACGCCAAGAGATACCGCTCCCAGGTAAGTGAGTTCAGCTGCACTCAGGCCCCAGCATACCTGTGGAGGGAATAACAAGCAGTATGTTGTAAGCAAGCGGTCAGACGCTTGCATCCAGTCCCACAGAAAAGGGATTATTGTTTTTTGCATAATCCCACGCACATATGTAATATATGCACACACAGATGCACCTGCTCTCCTATCCCTTGGCTGACGACTTCTTGGAAGAGAAGGCCAGCTATTCTTGACTGATTTTAACAGCCTTTGGCTGGGCTGGGCTGAAGCGGGGCTGCCTGACGTGTAGACCCACAGATGCTTTCAGTAGGGCAGAGCACGCTGATACAGTCCGCACCCAAAATAACTTGCTACCCGCCACCCCCAGCAGAGGCACTGGCCCTGGCTGGCTCCTGACCCCCTGCACCCCCATGCTGTGGGCTGGCTCTGTGCTGTGAGCTTCATTATTACCATGGTTTTTGGTTGCATCCCCCTCCTCTCCCACCCCCTGCCCAGAGACTCGGCTGTGCCCTGGAGCAGCCAGAGGGTGCTGGGGTGGGTGAGCACAGGGGCTGTGGGGCAGGGTGGGCTCTCCCTGTCAGAGGTCCGGCTGGGATTTGGGCTCAACAGGCTGGCGGGGGGAGCTGTGCTGGTGGGTGGGCACCCCTGCCTGCACTGCCTCAGCCACCCATCTGCCCATGTCTTCTGCAGATCGTGGCCGCCCTGGATGCCAATCCCACGACGAAGCGCACCCAGCTCCAGCACAAGTTTGAGCAAGTGATTGCACTCATGGAGGATAACATCTACGAGTGCTGCAGCGAAGCCTAGGCTGACTGCAGCCCTGGAAGTGACCTTCTCCGTAGCGCAGTGCCGTAGGGAACCTGCCTTCAGCCGCGGATACACCATGGATCCACCGTGGATCATCTCCGCCAGGGTCATTCTCAAACCAGCCTTGTGGTGGGGGTGGGCCTGGCCCGTGGCTGAAGGGCTCCCTCACCCAACAAGAAGCCACAAGACACCTTTCCGAGCAGCAGAAAAACCCTCTGGTCTGCACTGTGGCACCCATAATTTATTTGCTGCCAGCGAGAAATGGAGACGAGACACTTGTGGCAAGCTCAGTTCACCACTTCCCTCTGATCAGCGTCCGAGCGGTCAGCAGCTCCCTGCATCCCTGTTTGTGGTTCCTCAGGATGAGAGACGGGGCTGCAGAAGCCATAACAATAGACACAAAGCAGTAGGGTAGCCTCAGGGAGTAATGAGCAGAGATGGCAAAGGCCGTCGGAGCAACCCCTGAGCTCCCTTCCACACCATCCCTCTGACATCCTTGTTTTTCCAACACCAGGGACTCTATCAGCTGTTCACTATCTGCTGCATTCTGTGTATTTTTGTGCCTTTTAATTTTTGTGCTGTATGTGTAAACATAACCACTCCTCCATCTGAGGATCGTCTTGGGCAACACGGGGAACTCAGGGCTGAGACAAAGCAGTTGCTTCCCAAGTAGCTAAGGCATGGTGAAAGCACTTTATCCCCTAACGGAGACAGCTGTTACGGAGCTGGAGGGAGCGTGTTACATGTCAGACAGTGTGGGAAGGGCTGCTTCCCCTTCCCCAGGTTCCCAGATCTGCATGCACAGTGAGCTGGAGTTGCAGTGGGCAGGCAAATATCCCCTAATGACCCACCTTTCAGCCAGCTGATCCCAGGCATAGCTTCTGCCTAGAAGCAGAAGACCAGATGCAGTGGGTGAGGGGAAGGACTTCTGCCTCGCGCTCCGGTCGCCCTGCCGTGCTGGCTGTGCGCACATCTGTGGCACTGCCCCAGCTCAGCCCTGGTAACGCCGCTCATGCCAACAGGAGTTAGCTCCTGCTAACAGCCCCCTGACAGAGCGGGCTTGAGCCTCGTGGAGGGCAAAACGCCAGGTAGCATCTTCCCTCCTTCTGCCCCATGTGCTCCAGCATCTCCCCGTGATCATCACTGAAAACAAGGTCAGTGCTACAGAGGTGTCTTCCTAAAGCAGCTTGTTCTGCTTGCTTCAGACCCAGCCCACCATGGTTGTCGCCTGAGGGCAACCAAGAGCGTGCAGTTTTGCTGTGTATCCAGTCTTTTTTTCGGCCCATAAAGGCAAAGGGACTGGACCCCATCCACCTGGCAGCACAATGCTCTCGCTCACGCAGGCCAGCAGAGCAGCTCCGGCACCCCACGCTGCAAACAAAGGCAGAAAGCGTCCCATGCCTCCTTACACTGGGGTCAGTGAGCAGGGTCCCACTGCACAGACCTAGAAACTTCACTGCTGTCCCGTGGCATCTGCGCTGGGGCAAACCCCCCGTCCCAGCTGGGTGGCCCATTCTCCTTTCTGCTGGCAATTTTGTCCTTTCTGCAGCCAGGGGAACTGTGACTGCTCTGGTCTTCTCCAGTGTCACACAGGCCCCTCTGTAGAGGCTGGACTGCAGCTAACACCACGTGCTTGAAGCCAGCATTCACATGCAGGCAAAGGCAACCTGCCCATGAAAGCTAAACCCAGCCGTAGCCACCGCATTTTCAAACTGCCAAATAGAAAAGAAAAAAAAAAAAGAAAAAAGTTACTACCTCACTCCAGGCAGGGTCTAAGGTGAGCCTCCGTTACTCATCCAGCTGGCAAGGATGCAACCTGGTATTAGATGACTTTGGTCCACCAAAACTCCTCCTGGGTGACTCACTGCCATGGACAGGTGGCCTCCATCCCATTGTTTCCAGTAATGCCACATTTGTCAGAAATTGGAACATCAGAATTGTGTATGTGTATATAGATATCTATTTTAAAACAAATGATAGACTTTATCCTGTATGTTAAAAGGGAGGGGAGGGAGGGGAGGGAAAGGGGAAGAACAGAGGTTTGGTTTTTTTTTTTTTTAGAAGAGAACTACAGAAAAAGTACATACACTGTGGAGGTTTCAATGTCTTTACTGAGGATGTGGCTTCAGAATAGAAACTCTAAGAATGTAGCTGGGCTACATTTTATTTTGAAAGTGATTTCACAAAAAAATCTTGAATTTTTTTTTCTTTTAGAAACTGTGAATAGCTGCCAGAGATATAGGCAGGCCCAGCACAGGGAAGGCGAGGGTGAGAAGGACCAAGGTAGCAGAGAACGTTGAGCTTGGCTGGAGGAGGGGAAAGGGCCATGGAGCGATAGCCCCATGTTGTTACAAGGAAAGGATACAGGTGAGCCGATGGTATAGTTTGCCTCCAGGTGATGTCACTGGGCCATGTATTGGGGCCTATTGCTTTATTATTTAATTTTTTCCAAAGCAAAAAAAAAAAAAAAAGTAGTTGCTACAACCATTTTAAAGGAACAACTGTAACGGAGCAGAAGCTTGAGGGTTTCTAGTGTTGCCTTGAACCCCCAAGCCCTTTGTAACATGTTTTTAAACTTTGGCACGTGTTGTGGGTGTAGTGCCCTTACCTGCTGTGTAGTGGAAGTGGCAGACTCTTGGAAAAGCCTATCTTTGTAATAAAACAAGGTGCTGAAACCTGTGTAGTGAAGTTCCTGCCTGTGTGCACACAGAGGACACACATTGGGGAAGACACCCGGCGCCACCCACAAGGTCAGGCTGCTGTCCCTTGCCCAAGGACGGGGTGCCTCTCCTCCCATGCCATCCCCCCCCCCCCCGGCCTGCTGACCACCGCACCCACCCAGCGCAAAGCGCAGGGAGGAGGGCAGCTGTCGGGTGCGCACAGCGAGCTTTGCATGTACAAGACGCACCGTGCTCGGCATTGGCAGCTCAGCCGATAACCACCTTGTTTCCACAGGAGATGGGCTTTTACCCCTCTGGGCTGCAGAGCCCTGGTTTTCCGCAGAGCACGCTGTGACCACGCACCGCTCCTCCTACCCGGTACCACAGCTCCCACCAGAACAGGCGCTGGCGCAGAAAGGGGAAGAGCTGTGTGAGGACACAGCCATGCACCTGAACTGACTGCATGCTGTGCTGCACACACAGCCAGTAACACCACAGCAGCGCCCAGGGCCGGGCACCCTTACATCTCCAGTGCCATCAGCCCACAAGACAGTGTCTTCTCCCAGCCCTGGGGAGCCCAGCGCCCGCTCTGCCCCACAGCTGCTGCCAGCCCTCGAGGCTTCTGGCTTCAGTGCCGTAACACCAGCCACGGCCCATAGGTCTTAATAACCATGTCATTGCTCAATCCTCTCTCTTCCACCTCCCCCAGTAAAAGCTGCTTTTTCCAGGCACCAGAGGGATTTTCTTTTCCCACTAGAAAGTTGATTCTTAGTAGAGCTAAATCCAGCCATTAAATTATTTGGCCTCTCTCAAAGCAAAAGAGCCTTGTGTTTCACCCTGGGTGCCTGGTGAGAGAGGACACAGCTCCTGCCCGGTTCTGTTACGGCACATTTCCATGCTAGCGACCAGTGCTTTGCGAGGTTAACCATCACCAAAGGGCCAGGTGACCTCTGCTCAGTTATTACCACAACATCCCCCACCCTGTCCCTGGGGGGACACAAGTTTTGGCTCATTAAAGATGGATCAACATGGCCAAGGCTGAAGTTTAAAGAGAAGTTAGTTTGCTCAGCTCTTGCTTAAGCCCCAAAGCAAGGCCAGGAGCCTTGGAGGGCATTGGCAAAGCCAGCTGAAGATTAACAAAATCCTCTTTAGGAAGAGAGTTTTACTTCCACTTATTTTTTGCTGCCCAGGAGGACTGTAACCCTTTGCATTATCAGGCTGACCTTCAGAAGGGCTCTGTTCTGTGCAGAACGAGAGAAATTCAGGCATTTGAAGCTATTAAAGGAAAGTGTTCATATGTTGACCCACAGGAGCTAGCAAGACAGGTTTAGAGGTGGGCACTGTGCCACTGATAGATAACAAGAGCACAAGCAATGCTGCAGTCTACAACAAACACCCCAAACTCTTTTTTTGAGCCCTAAAACGCTTCTATCTTCCTCTTACCATGGTTAGAGCACAGGCAGCTCCCCCTGGCACTGGGGACCCTTGCCCATGGCATGCACCCGGACCTGCTGCCCTGGCACTCCTGTAATCCCAGCTCAGCCAGGCATTAGCGCAAGGGCAACCAGGAGGGCAGAGGACCAGACACGTACCCCACACCAAGGCTGTGGATGCCACGGCCCCACACCAGCAGGGCTGGCCAAGCCTGAGCTTCGCAGTGCCCAGGGGTGCCACCGTGCTGCGTCCCAAGGCTCCCAGGGCCCCCTGCCTGGGCCATCACCCAGCACTGGGGCTCACCGCCAGCCTGCACACACGCAGCCCCCCAAAGCCTGGCACTGCTGGCTGGCCAGGCGTGCCACTGCAGCCAGCAGCTGGGGACACATGGGTACAGACAGGGCACCTCTCCATGACAGCATGCTGGGAGGTAGGAGTGCAGGGGCAGAGACCCACGAGCAGGGCAGTAGTCACACCATTTCATGAGTGGAGTGAAGCAGCTTTATTATCAGGAGGTGAACACAGAATTAAAACCTGTCCTGAGGACTAAAACCGACCCGGACCCAAGGGCCCGGGCCCAGCTGGAAGCAGGGCTGGGCTCCCACAGGGAGCAGGGCTGCCTGGGACCCCCTACGGGGCCTTCCTGCCTGCTGGTGTGGGGGCTGCCTTCTGCAGCCTGGCCTCCCCCTGACTGGCTCCTGGGGCTGCCCGGGGCTTCCTCGCTTTGCCTTGACCCCCCTTCCCCTTGGGGGCATCTTGCTGTGCTCCCTTGGGTGCCTTCCCCTTGCTCTTTCCCGTTGGGGCCTTTCGGGGCCCCTTTGCCCCAGCACCCGCGGGGCTGTCACCATCGCCCCCTCCTGCATCCTCCGCAGCCAGAGCCACAGGGGGCCCTGAACGCCCTTTGCCAGGGGCCCGGGCACGGCTGGCAGCCTGCAGGGTCTTCGCTCCAACGCTCCTGGGCTTCACTGCTGCTGGTGGCCGGGCCTGGAGGGGAAAGAGCACCTCAGACTGCCGCCATGCCATGAGCCACCCAGCCTCACCGCTGGGCCCTACTCCCAGCTGT